AGCCGACCGGGTGGTGGCCGAACGCCCTTACCCGTACAAGTACAAGCCCGATTTTCATTATTTTTCATATTTGTACGGAAACAAACAAAGCATACACACAAACTTTGCACAATAATTTGTAAAAATATCTTAAATTGGAAATTTAAAATCACGTGGCCAACAATTTTAACAACACATCTGGTCCAGTTCGAAATTCAAATAAATATATTAAAAAAAATAAAATTGGGTTAGGCAATTACCCTGGGAGCAGTCGCCACGTAACATTGAGCAATGAGCAATGATCGGCACCAGCAACAACGCTCCAGATTGAACCACGCAATCAATCACCGTTCAAGTTTCCACCATGAAATGATGAAGATGGTAAATAAATAACTGGAGGAGTTAAAAGAATTAAAAAAAGAAAGGAGTATGAATGTATGATGTATCATCCTGGTTGATGTGAGCGTGAGGCAGAGAGTGGAAGTGTAAATGGGCAGCGTGTGGGTTTGTTACTTCCCGAGCTGCACCACTCTTCCGTGTCGCCACTGCATGCTCTCTCCAACGCACCTTATTCAACCCTCAACCTCCATCTCTCTCCGCGCACGTGCTTCTCAATCCATCACCGCAAGAACCACAACAAGGTTTTCCCTCTCTCTCTCTCTCTCTCTCCCACACACACACACACACTCTATCGTTGATTGAATTTCTCCTTTTCCTAATTCGTTCACTTCGCGATTCAGGAGAACTCGAAGACTCAAAAGCGACGCCGAGATCTGCAACGACATCCGCGAATTTCTCGCTTCCGTTGGCCTCCCGGAGGACCACATTCCCTCCACCAAGGAGCTTCTTCTCCATGGATGGTTCTTCCGCTTCCTCTTGCATTTAATTCATTCCTCAGTTTTGTTTCCTTCAATTAAATTCCCCCGTGTTAAAACAAATTTGATGTTAGGATGTTTAATTTAGCTGAAATGCTGTGAAATTTGACTCGTCTTCTCTGGTTACAGGAATGACCTTGCTAACATTGTCCGAAGGAGAGGGCACAAACAGATTCAGGAGCTTCTCACGAGAAACACGTTGCATGTTGACTTTGATGATGGTTTAAGCGCTGAAACGAGTTTAGATGGTGCAAATGGTTTTGAAGATCCGTTAACAGGTCGATAAGATTTCCTTTTTGTGAATGGACTCTTATTTTGTGTTACTTACTCGTGGTAATGACTGATGATCTATTATAATGCAATTTAAAGGTCAGAATGAGAAGGTGGACTTTTTGGTCAATGACTTTGAAGCTTCAACTGAATTTAGTTCTGGTAGTTTCTATGATGACTCTGGTTCAAGTTTTGATGAAGGTGCTTTCGTCGGTGAAGAAGCCTTGGTTAATTCGTCTGTTCAAGATGGTCTGAGTGAAGTCAAAGATCATTCTGAGGTGGTCAACGATGTGACGGAGGGGAATTTCTACCCAGATGAAGTTACTATTGAGGATGATGATTATGATGGTTCAGGGGAAGGTCTTTATCCCAACTTCGGTAGCCAAAGTTCCATCATGCCTACAGAAATTTCTGGTGAATCACCTTTTGAGACGGTGGCTTCTGGAAATTCTGAGTGTGAGGATAGCGTAGTGGGCAAAACAGTTGGAGAGTTAACCTTGTCATTGACGGACAACCATTCCAGCACTTCGTTTAATGATTCTGATATTGATGCTGAAGACGAAGAGTTTAGTCATTTGGAACCATTAATTGAGCAAAAGGACTTGGACGCATTAGAAGGTCTAGATAATGGCAACGATGATATTGCTGAAGATGTTGCCGCAACCTCTGAAGTTACCGCTAGGGAAAACTCATCTGGTGACAACGGACTTGATTCAGTTGTTCATTCTGCTGACATCAGTTCTACGAGTTTTGACACTTTGGCCAACTTGTCTTTGAAGGAAAAGGTTGCAAATTTTATTCAGAATGGAGATTTGGATCCAGTGGAAGGTAATTGTTATGTATAGTGATGTATTGGTGTTGAAGTTACGGGGTTTAAAATATAGGGTAAGAAGAGAGATGAAAAAAAATGAAACACTGCATTGATATTAACTAAGACTTATTACAATGTATTGATTCATTTAATATACTCACAAAACATAGAACACTAACTTGTATTTTTGCTAATCATAATCCTAATTAATCTGGGAAACAAAATCATCTTAAGATAAGGAAATATGGTTATCCATCCTTAGAGATAATGAAGAAATAGGAAAACCTTGCCAATAAAATAACTGAAGACATTCTAAGATATGAGAAGATATACTCATATTTCATATACTCTAACTAACATCATGAATGGCTACAACTATGCCTTTGACAACAGTAGCTTCTGATTTGAGTCAGCATATTGAGTAAAGAGAAGAGAATGACCGAGAAAATAGATGATCTGTCTTGCCTCAACTCGAGCTTTCACACTAAAATGTTGGGCTACGTTGCTTTGGCTTCAAACATTTTATAAAAAAAAAAACTTTGGCGACAAGTGCCTATACTTTAGTCAAAGCCCTTGTACTGAACAAATGAAGTCAGAATAGTTTCTCTGTTCAGTACAAACTATATGGATACTTTCTTTTTGTTCCTTTTCAACAATGCATAACCCTAATTGTTTGATTCTTAGATCATGTCTCTGGCCTTTTGAATGGGGATGATTCTCTGGAAAGCAAAGAATATATTGAATCATAACCTGCTTTATATATGCCACTAGGTACCTATTCTCCTGAAGATAATAATGTTATGGCTCATGGGACATCCACGCAAGTTGTTCCATCTGGAGCATTGGATTTGAATCAGCGTCTTTGGTCAGTATTTTGTATTATATGGATGATAGTAATCAACTGGGACTGTGGGATGTTCATTGATGTTTTCGTTTGAACTGAACCCCCCTTCTTTTTCTGCATTCAAATCATATGTAGGGATGATCACTTGCCACATGAAGATGTAACTACTCATCTCGACAAGGATGTGGATACTGAGGTCATGCTGTGCATAAATATCTAGAAATTATATCTCCATTGACAACTTCTTGTGACCCTAATTATTTGCATTTTACTTGCTCTCATTATGCAGGCTCCAAAAGTGCAAAATGAAAATGAGATAAATCGTCTCAAGTTCATGCTGGTAGTAATTATTTAAAGTTACTTTTGTGGTTTAGAAGTTGCTAAAGCTAGCTAATTAATTTTTGTTTATAATTGTTATGAATTTAACCTGTTATTATTCTTTTTCCTCTTCCCTTTGCAAATGTTATTGGGTGCATAGTATCAGAAGGAGTTGGAACTGTCTCAGCTGAAGGAACAAATTGAGAAGGAAAAGGTAAATGAGCAATGTCTGGAATCTGGGACCACAAGATGTGTGTTTATTGCTTAGATCCCACATTGGCTGGGGGTCAAAGTATGTCTTATTTCAAAAATCGTCCTTTGTTGAACTAGCTTTTATGGTTTAGTTTTACCCAATCCATTCTCAATTATATATATTTTCTGGCATCAACTATGTTAATCGTTAGTTAGCATCAAAATAACATTTCTCTGGGGCTTTGACACCTTTAGTTCACTAGGTAAAGAAAGATTCTAAATTCATTATGATGGGCCTAAGAGTAAATATGATACAATGATAGGAACATGTGTGCTTTGTAAAGGTTCTCTACTGTTATGAAAGCATTTGAATATCCTGAAATTTATGTCATAACTGCATGTCATTTTCAGGGATGATCATCCATAATCGCACCATGTGTAAAAAAGGTTATTGTAATTAAAACTTGTAAAAGAACAGGAAGCTGCTTGATCTTCTAAAAGATCGCAAACTCTCTGGTTTTGACACTCAATTATGTGAAATTGCACATGGTTATTTTGAATTTGTTTAAAGCTACACAGTACATACTATCACATTGAACTACTTTATTTTTTTAATGGGTTCAAGTTAAGTGTAGTTTAATCTGAATTTGTGTCCCAACTCCCAAATATGTCATGATTATCTTTGTTAGTTTGGAAGTGTTGGCAAAATCATAGCATACTCATACAGTCATACTAGAAGCAGCTGTTTAGCCCTTCTCTCATCCCTCTCTTCAATGTATGAGAGATTGAGAGTTATTTCGTAATCCATACAACTCCCTAAGTGATGGAAGCACTTGGAGAGGATTGATATTCTTCCAAGATTTCCATGCAAGGGCTGAAATGCTCCATGAGGTTGAACTCCTTGAAGGTGGCGGAATCACCTTGGAGGATTCTCCAATGGTGGAGAAGCACCTAAGAGAGGTTCGGTCACCTCTTGAAGAAGTGGAGAAGCTTGAGGAACCAAGCTTCTAGGAGAAGGAACTTTGAGAGAAAACTAGGAGAAGTTTTTCTCACGAATTTGACTCTTGAAAATGAGAGAGAATTTCTGAATTCTAAGTCTCATTAATGTCCAAAAGTGAAGGTTTAGGTCAGATTTACAATTATATAGGGAGAGGTAGCTTCTAGGAGAAGCTAACCTTAACCATGGTTCACTAGGAACCATGGTAAGGTGTAGCTAACCATCCATGGTTTCTAAAACTTGTAGGAGAAGCTAACCTTGACCATGGTTCACTTAAGAACCATGGTAAGGTCAGCCCACCCTACCAAGGTTTAGAAACTTGGAGGAGAAGCTTCAAAGCTTGAAGAAGGAACAAGCAAATTTTGGCCAAGAAACTAAGGAAAGAGCTAGGCGGATTAGGCTCCAAAATGCTCCATGAATTATTTTGAAAATCTTTGATTTGGTTTAGTTAGGTTCATCATATGATGATGAGACCTAGCTAAATCAAATCTATGAAAAATTAGGAGCAAAATGAGTCTAATATGCAAAATTTTGCCTAGGCCCAGTTCTGGCCCAATTACTAGTCACACCCTCAAGCATTGCTAAATGCCACCCCTTTTTCCCTACTGAAAAAATATAAAATGAATGTATCAACAAAGGAGGTTAAATGGAGTTAAACTCTCCAAGTAACCCACCCTAAAATCAATATACAATCACTAATTAAAAGCAAGTAAAGTGCCTCACAAATACAAAGGCAAAATTAGACCTATACAAAGGAACTATGTACAAAATATATGAAAAAGGTCTTTAAGATCATCCCATTCCTCTTGGTTCTTTTAAGATATCACCTCTTGGATTCCTTGGCCTTGGCCATAGTCTATCACTTAGTCACATTTTATTATTGCTTTCAGCTTGCTCTGTCTGTCTTGCAAACCAAGGCAGAGGAAGAAATCAGCAAAGCCAGAAAACTTATATCTGAAAAAGATGTAGAGTTACACGTTGCTGAAGAAAGTCTTTCAGGACTCAAAGAGGTATTGCATATGTGTTCTTGTGGTCTTTTAATCCAGTAGTTTATTCAAAGCATCTTGCATTTTGATCTAGTGGTTATCTTTTGTTAAAATTTTGAGCAGTTTCAGATAGGAATTTGTTTATGAATTTGAAGAGTAATTGTTTAAAATTATCCATACATTGGAGTATGACATTTCCTAAACTTATGATTGTAAATCAAGTCTTTCTTAAGACCAAAGTTGGTACCAAATCAGGTTTCATCTGAAAGAAACACTTCAAACACTATCTTTAATTCAATGTTCAAGAGGAGCTGTAGTGGCCCTCTTAGTTTTGACACACCCCTTGTACAAAAAATTGTCCAAGTTGTCCCTGAGAATACTATAGGTTTGTTTTGATAAATTTCTCCATAAGCACTTTTAGGAGAAAAATAAGTACATGAAACTGTATACACATTCCTTGCACTATACAACATACACAATGGATGCACTAGAAGACAACATTTTTGAAGCCAGTAGGACTCTGAGGTTTAGCTGAGTATGTGTGTCTGCCATGGGATGTTAAAATATCGTTGGACTGATTAACAATTGACCAGAAACTTCATAAATGATATTATGAAAATTTATAGTTGAATTCAAATGTTGATCCAGTTATTTGGTTATTAGCTTCAATGATTGCACGGTGACAGGTGTGTGTTTTTTCACATGGAAGAGATGTTGGTTCTATTTGATCTTGTATATGGTGTATTTGGTAATCAACGGGTGACATCATAACTTTCTATCTGTAAAGATGAAAAATAAAATTCTGCTTACATGCTGATAGTTCTGTGTGCCCTTATATCCAGGTTCAGATTGAGTTCTGTGGTGATGCTGATGTTGTGGAGGTGGCTGGTAGCTTCAATGGTTGGCATCACCGAATAAAAATGGATCCTCAACCATCAACTAGTGCTATAGACCTTGGTGGATCAAGGTTCTAAATTGAACATGTTCAACTAGTTATTCTTAACTGATTACGTATTTATATGTCATCATTCTGTTCTTGCTGATTACTTATTGTTTGTTGATCATATAAGAGGAAATGTATTGACTATTGAGGATTGTTTGTTTAGATAGAAATTAGTGTTAAGGCTGAAATTAGTATAATTTCAATTATTGGAATCAGACAATGTCATATTGGATACCGAATGAAAAACTCTTTGCATACCTTGATAAAATAACAACATAAAAATATCATGTTAGTATTTGAAAATTTAAACCTTTCTTGATAATAATATTGATATATGCTGTTCAATGTAATAATATCCAGGAATTCCAAATTTTGGTCAACAATGCTGTGGCTTTATCCTGGCGTATATGAGGTGTGTGCATCTTCAACAATACTAATGATTAGAATCGTAGTAATTTTCCAGTTTTCTAGTTCTCTTTCCTATTTTTTTATTCTTTTAATTATGGGCTTTATTCTTTTTTTTTTGTCTGGTAAGTTGAATAGTTTGGATTGTTTATTACCTATTTGTTTCTGTTACCTTTTTTGACTTGTAAAAGCATAAATACTTCAAGATGATTTAACAACTGTATTTGTTTATTGTAGATAAAATTTGTTGTTGATGGCAAATGGAAAACGGATCCGCAACTGGAGTCAGTAACAAGGGGTCATATATGTAACAACATTTTAAGAGTAGATAGATAATGCATTCTGGCTCAGGTCACAATTGCTAGATGTATATAAAATGGTAAGATGATGATTTTCATCTTGACTGTTCTTAATCATCAATTAAAATGTTGTCAGAGATAGACTGACAGTGACAGTCAAACTATGGTTTCAATTGAAAATTGTGGATGTGCAAGATTCTAAGATTAGATAGTTGATGCATGTAAATGTTTAGTTATTGCCTTCTTCTTAATCATTAATTCACCTCTTGTCAGGGCTTACTTGCACTTACAGTTAATTTCGGCATACTCTTAAATTTTGTGTAATACTGACGCTGTATTATGAACTATTGTAGGGTACATAAAAATCGAAGATAATGGTTTGCTGTGGAATTCAAAAATCACCATGTTTGACAGCAATATGGACAGGAGAAACATGCAAGAAGGAGCAGAATTTAGATGAGTAATCTTTTACAACCGTTCTGTATGTACGTACATTTGTGTCTGAAACTAGAGATTATGACATCATCTGGGTCTGTGCAAGAGTTAATTGGAAATTAGGAATTTAGGGCGTGTTAGTAGGGAAGGATTTGGGTAGTCCGTAAGAGGTCGTAGCTTCAGACTATGCTATCATTGTATCAATCAGGGGAGAATTGTAGTCTCCGTCGTCTTTGTATTCCTCATCTCTTGTTTCTGATATTCTTTTGGTGGTTTTTATTGTCAAAGCCACTCACAAAATCCAGGATAAAAGTTCGTTTTGTCGGGCTTTGCAAATTTAGCAAGTGATATTTGATAGTTTTCGTGTAAGAAGCCATGAATGCAAGCGAAATTATCTGGGAAAAAAAAGTTATGGAGGGGTATCTGTGTTTTGTATAGACTTGTTATCACTCCAGCACATGCATGAGTGGCAACTGGCACATTAAACCTCGTTTGCATAATTATATATGTAAGAACATACAGTGATCAGTGAGTGCAGTGGTGAAAGATACATTTTAATGTTTGGTCTATTATTTTAAAAGAATAACATATTTAAGAAATTTTGCTTCTTATGAATTATTTTGAGAAAGAAAAAAAAACTATGTACCAATAATATAAAATAATTTTATACGATTATTCAATTACAGATTACAATGTAATAAATTCACTTAAATATATAGCTTGTTTCATGTTCATTTGAAAATCTAGTCTCATGTTCATTTGAAAACCTAGTCGTCAAATATATTTTTAAAATTATTAGTGCAAAAAATTATTTTACGTGGGTAATATATGGTCATTAAGTTCATGTTTTTTTACCAATATATTTTATAAAATTGTTTCGACAAAAATATGAGAATCTAACTTGTCGGAGTTGAGAAAAACTAGTGGCTAGGCCCGTGCAATGCACGGGCAATAAATCTATTAATATTTAATTTTATTTATATATATATATAAATTAAAATATTATACATTTATTAAATAGGTTGAAAATAAATAATATAATTTTAAATATCTTTTCAATCATTATAATTTTTTTGTCATTATTCCTTTTAAAACTTTGCAATATATTTTTTAAAATAAATAACTTGTGTCTTCTCATATGTTCAACAAAATTAATAGGTAAGTTCTGTTAACATAATAAATTTAATATTTGTTATAAATATAATATTACAAAATAAAAAAAAAAAACAAATCAGATAGATACACCAATTGATTATTCGCGACTTAGTAATGGATAAGAATAACTCTGTAATTCTTCTCTAGTTGAATGTTGGAAGCATAATAGAAGACTTTTTGATTGTGAATGTGATTTCCTCTTTCATGCGATAAACATTCTAAAAGGAACCGTATATTCAACTATCGTAATAGCTTGTTTGTAGATTGAGGAGTAACTACCTCTTTACTTGAACTTAGGTTTGGTAACCTAAATCATCTCACAATAAAAAAAATGTAGTTAGATGTTATTTTTATTTAACATATAGGTTACTATATTTCTTCAATAAATATTAATGTACTCAAGTTTATTTTGAGCTTTTATCAAAAAAAAATTTACAAATGTATACTCAGAACATCTTCTAAATTCTTTGTTCTTCATTGATTGCAATGTGTAACACATAAAATCATTGGGAACTAATTGAAGGTACAACTTGTTAAAATACAGTTGGTCAAATTTTGTCCAAACTCAACTTGCAATTGGGTTCTTTGATTTTTCTTAAGTTGTCTAACAAGGCTAAAATTTTAGTAATGATTGCAAAAAGAAATGCAATGGATCCAATAATACGATTCACCTAACAATAATTGAAGAATCATTATGAGATACATATGGTGATAACTAAAATAATTTTAAAAAGATATAAACCTTTGGTATGGGTTATTTATTTATATATTAGGTAGTACCTATACACATAAAAGACATTTGGTTCAATAAAATTTTTTTTGAAATACGAATAATGCTACCATCTGAAGAATGTACAAAATAAGTCACTACTTTAGCCATAACTAATGTAGAGACTAATATGAAAATCTTTAATCTTGAATCATCATAATTAAAAAAAATTATACAATTACTGTCGTAACCGAAATCACGACGGGATGACGCAAACATTTTTCTTTTCAAAGGAGCCGCCACCAATATTTATTTTAAGGGAAAAACATTGGGAAATCCTTTAAAAATAACCTTTTAAAATCAAAATTGGGTTCGGAAGTCAATTACGTGTAGGGAAGGTATTAGCACCTATGACGCCCGTAAAAATACAGTACCTTTAATTAATTGTGCAAAATTATATAAATTTATAAATTTTTAATTTACCCTAAATATATATATATATATATATATATATATAAGAATAAACCTCTTTTATATATTTCTATTTTAAAAAAAAGTGGAACTTGTATAAGAATGAATTTAAGTTAGCAAATAGCTAATCATTAAACCCTCAAAATCAAATAACGTCAAAGATAAAAATGTTATTCAATTGACGTTGTTATTTGTTGTATATTGACACTTTCTAAACAATAATCTTGAAGACAACAAATCACATTCACTATGTACATACAATTATTTTCAAAAAAGAAAAAAAAAGGTTAAGAAGAGAATATGATACCAAAGGTGAGGCGAATAAATTGTTGAACTTGTTATCGTGTTGAATCTTCAGATATGAGGATCTATTAGGTGCTTTTTGGCTACCTTTCACACTACACAAATACCTCATAGATCTCAAGAAATACAAAGAGAGAGAAAAAAAAGAGGATTTTCGAGCTATAAGGAAACTTAGACCAAATTTTTTTTGCCCCTTTTTTCGTCACCGAGAGCAGTGCTTGAGTCTTCTATTTATAGATGTCAGACCTGACCAGAACGGCCCGTTCCGGATTTGGAATGGCCCGTTCTGGATCATTCAGTTATGAGCTAAATTTGAACTTGGAACAACCTGTTCTAAAGGTAGAACAACCCGTTATCAATTAGGGTTTTAGGTCTTTTTAGTAACCTAGAACGACCCGTTTCGATTTTGGAACAGCCCCTTTTGGGCTCCTAAAACCACTTGTTTGGGCTTCAAGCTTCCTTGTTGTCATATGGTGTTGCCTCCATACTTTGAGAGCTCCTTCTCTTCATAGTAGACGTCCATTTCATTGGTTTTGTGGGTCCGGATAAAATTGGTTATTCACAGTTGCCCCTGTTTATTTATTTCTTATTAAATAATCTAAATAAGGTAATTTAGATCATTTGTGATGAGAAATGAATAAAGATGTGAATTAATTTTATCCAGCTACCCAAGACATAACTCCTATTGTTGATGTTGGTACTAGAAAGATTCAATGCTTTTGCTTGAACAGTTAAATGCTAGAATGTTGTGTTGGGATCGTCAAGTGCTAGTGCTGGATCAACTGAATGCTAATGTTGAATGCTTGTACTGGAGTGGTCAAATGCTTGAGCTGGATCGACCAAATGCTAATGTTGAAAGCTTGTACTGGAGTGATCGAATGCTTGTGCTGGATCGACCGAATACTAATGCTGAATGCTTGTGCTGAAGTGGCTGAATGCTTGCGCTGGATCGATCGAATGCTAATGTTGAATGCTTGTACTAGAGTGGTTGAATGCTTGTACTAGAGTGGTTGAATGCTTGTGTTGGATCGACTGAATACTAATGTTGAATTCTTGTGCTGGATCGACCGAATGCTAATGCTGAATGCTTGTACTAGAGTGGTCGAATGCTTGTGCTAGATCGAATGAATGCTAATGTTGAATGCTTGTGTTGGAGTGGTCGAATGCTTGTGCTAGATCGATCGAATGCGAATGCTGAATGCTTGTACTAGAGTGGTCGAATGCTTGTGCTGGATCGATCGAATGCTAATGTTGAATGCTTGTGCTGGAGTGGTCGAATGCTTGTGTTGGATCAACTGAATGCTAATGCTGAATGCTTGTGCTGGATGGTCGAATGCTTGTGCTGGATCAACTGAATGTTTGTGCTTGATCGAATGAATGCTTGTGCTGAGTGGTCAAATGCTTGTGCTGGATCGACTAAATGCTTGTGCTTGATCGGTTGAATGCTTATGCTAGAGTGGTCAAATGCTTGTGCTGGATCGACCGAATTCTTGTGCTTGATGGAGTGAATGCTTATGCTGGAGTGGTTGAATGCTTGTGCTTGATCGACCGAATGCTTGTGCTTGATGGAGTGGTCGAATGCTTGTGCTGGATCGACCGAATGCTTGTGCTTGATCGAATGAATGCTTGTGCTGGAGTGGTCGAATGCTTGTGCTGGATCGACCAAAGGCTTGTACTTGATGGAATGACTGCTTATGCTGGAGTGGTCGAATGCTTGTGCTGGATCGACCAAATGCTTGTGCTTGATGGACTGAATGCTAATACTCGTTCAATTGAATGTTGATGTCGGTTTGACCAAATGTTGATGCTAGATCAACTAGATGTTGCTACAACGACTGGATGATGGTGCTAGTTCAATCAAATGCCGGTGCTGGATTGATTGAAAGTTTGTGCTAGATCGACTGAATACTGGTGCAAGATTGATCTAATGCTGATATTGGATCGACCGAATACTTGTGCTGAATTGGTCGATGGGTCGCGCCAAGTAGATACTGGGCTTATACAAAAGAAAAATGTAACTTGTGCCAGGTAAGTACTGGACTTAAATAGAAAGTCATATGTGAAGCAAGTGCTTAGCCTAAAAACTCTACGTCATTAGTTTTAGGAAGCAAGAGATGCAAATGCAATGTGATGTAATGGTGATATGATGTAAAATGTTATGAGACACAACTTTCAAGACTTAAACTTTTGTTTCTTTTCCTTTCCTTTTTGCTTTTGCTTTTTTTTAAGGTCATAAATTCCTCATCGTGACACACAGCCAAGGATCATGGATGAGTGAGACCTTTGAACACTTTTGACTTGAATGACAGTTGGTTATTACCTTGTGATGGAGGAAGCCCATGGACCAATGGCCCAACTACTAGGGCTATGACAAGGAGGATACATGAGGAGTGGGCTCAAGCCCAAGGAAAGCCCATATCTTTGTTTTGTTGGGCTTTGACTCAAGTCCAAGTAGATTAGGGTTAGTGTAGGATTGGGCCTTGGTGCCTTGTATTTCTTTTGGGCCTTGTATTTCTGGCCATGTAGCTTAGGATTTTCATTTCATGGCCATTTAGATTTAGGGTTAATTTAGGTTACATGAACACTTTCATTTGAATGTCATTAGTGTGTCATTTGAAGGTGCATTTCGGCCATGTGCACACATGCACATGGTGTGACCGAAATGCAACTCAAATGGATACTAAATCACATCCAAATGAGTGCACA